TATGTGGACAAGGCAGATGAGGAAGTTACTTTATTTTCTAAATTGATGAAGAAATACAATACCTGTATCTTCTCCTTGCTTAAAAAATAAAAGATTTATACTCTATCGTGGATTTTGAAAATAAAATAAATTTCTATTTTTAAGAACCTACCACAGTGCCTAGAGTTCAAGACAGATTCAATTTATTTTAGCTGATTTTCCTTCTTTTTTAAAAAAATATTTTCAACATCAGGCTATACTCATTTTCCTATATTGAATGCCTGTATACATTTAGACTATGTGTGAACTTTTTCCTTCAAGAACCAAAAATTTCTTATATTAGATGGAATCCCATATATTTTAGTCATCTTTTTACACATTTTCAAAATAACTAATGTTAGTATATGTATCATAATAACCAGAAGTCAACAAAGAGATTCAAGAACAATATCATTCAAGAGAGGAATGGACAACATAAAACGGAGAAAACCCATTTTTATCACTTCTCAATGTTGAGCAAAAGTATAAACTCAGGCAATTGTCATTATCACATTTTGAAACATCTTTCTCCATGACCTTCTGTGCTAGAGCATTTCCTCTCTAATGATTATTGATGTTAAAGTGAAAAGAGACAGCAGAATTCATCAGTGCAATAGAAGGGTCAACTCAAATCACAGGCATTCCACATGGCTGATTGAGGAAGGACAAAGCCTGCTGGTTTCCATGGGCCCCCTATGGTCATGGCAGGTTTTATGCCTTCTATTCTTTGCAGAGAAGCTGCACTATATACGGCAGCTCTTCCCTTCCACAATTCTTTCCAGGGGCAGCCTGGAGACTCTGTCCTACTCAGTATCAGAGCCAATCCTGCCCAACCTAGAAGATTCTGAGCCCCACTCAAACACGGGTGGCTTGGGTTTGCACAATTATTTGAAGGTTTATACACCTTGCACCAAGATGATGATGGCATGAGATGGCATGAGACTCTTAGTTTTTATTTTGCAGGGGAGGTGAGAAAGTAATGCAATTACTTCTGTGTTGGTTATATTAAAATGAAACGCATGAGGGACATGCAGATGTAAAACTCGGGGAGACAACTAGCCATAGGCCTAGGGCCCATGGTAGAGATCTGAAAAGGTGAAAATATATTTGAGAGTCATTAACGTGTATGTAGAGGTCAAAATTGTGGACACAGACGTATAAACTGAAGGGCCATATTAAAGAGTAGAAACCAGAAAAAGAAATAGAAAATAGATCAGAGAAGTAGAATCCTGGAGGCCAAAGGAAGAGATAATTCTAAGAAGTATGATGACAACAAAATGACCAACACGTTGAAAAACCATAAGTCACGAGAAGCAATCACAAATCAATTTTACTTTTATCTTTCACTGACCCTTTAAATGTATCGTGTGGGGCTAATTCCTCTGTCTTCCACCTGGAATATAGAGTGAGCCAGTCACAAGGCTCCTCTGGTCTTTCTCAGACAATCCTGAGAATTTTAATCATCATTTAAACTAGTTCTTGGCGTCTAAATTTTACAAGTTCTGCTACTGTATGAATCAGGTATGGTGGCTGACGCATGAATGGGAAGAAAGGAAAATGAAAAAGCAAGGAAAAAACTTTAAAATTCTTTTTAAAGGTTAGCAATTAAATGAAAAGTGAGAGATTAATAACTTCCAGGGCTCATAAGGCAGGGCACAGCAAGAGAAGCATTTTCAGCATGGCAATGAAGAGCATATTTATAGACAGCTAAGATACAGCCAGTGAGGAGATGTTTAAGTTAAAGGGAGGATTTGATGGAGCAAAGTTCAGAAGGCAGAAGAGGACGGTGAAGAGGAAGGGAAAGGGAGGAGGAAGAGGAAAAACACAAGAAGGGATCACACCAAGAACAGACAAAAGGTTCTTTTTAGAAAACAGTTACACATGGTTTTCTTCTTAGACTAAATAAAAAATTAAACAATGTGTGACAATTTAGACAAATTAAAGGTGGAGAGAAGATAATCTGGAGATACTTGTACCTGAGTCGATTTTGTCTAGGAAGCAGAGGGCTAGATTATCTGCAAGGTCGAGGGCAAGGGCAGGAAAGTGAAATCGAAGAGACTGGTAGTAGTTTAAAGGGGGAGAGAAAGTGAGGTGATGAGAAGCACATACATGATGGTGCCTCCAGGAAGCACAGGTGCATGGTCTTTCTTCCAGACCTCACAGGCTCAGGGTAGGAGCAGGGCAGCCATCCCTGCAGCTGACCGGCAGTGCGGCGGAAGGGAGATGGCAATCAAGTTACTCTAAAAAGTCAGAATTAAAGTCGTTTTGTCCCAGAGAAGGAGTAGGAGACAGTGAAGTTAGGAATGAGGCTGATCGAAAGAGGTCTATGTAGGGAGAATGGACTAGAGACTAAGAGAAGCAGCAGATTATGTGAGGGTTCAGGGATAAATTGGAATTGGAAATATGTGATCCTATTTCTGGGATTAGAAAGATTTGAGAAGTAGAGAAATTACAAGTGATCACAGAATCCAGGGGGTAGCCATGGAAATGGGTTGCAGGAGTGGGAATTAAATGAATGAAGAATCCAAAGAATTGCATCAGTAGTTGTCAAAGTCTTTCAAGATAATGGCAGGAGTTAGAGAGGAGAGGGGGGAAGATTCCATCCCTCTGATGAGGTTCTCAACAAATGAAAAAATGGATGTCAGAAGATAAAAACAAGAGGATGGAAGTAAAGTTTCAAAGCACAATTTGTAATTTTAAAAACATAATTCTCTCCCCACCCTGGATCAAGGTAATAGGAGCCAGCAAATATGTAAAGATATCTAATTTTATTTATATAAAACTTGTGAATCTTTTTGCTTTAAACCCACACTTCCTCTGGATCTTCTATTTTTTTTTTAGAAATCAACCCAGCTTCTTACATTTTTGCTCTGTCTCCTAGACTCCAACCTCTGTCCTTGTCCTTTTCATGTGACTGAATTCTGCTTTCCTGATTTTCACCTCAGTACCTCTTCCTAATGATGTCATGTGCAGCTACTTCTTTGGCTCTTTCTGCTCCCCACAGATTTAGGTAAATATTACAAACCACCTTCTAATCCAGGGAATCCAATTCCAGTGCTAGCCAGGCCTACTGCAGAGTGGCAGGAGACGGAACACCGTTTTGTAAGCAGTTCTGGGTCCTGGATTAGACTGAAGGTCAGGAGTGAGGTGGGTATGTAACGAGAGACAAACAGAATGGGGTAAAGGTCAGCCTGGAATTTAAGAGCATTGATGGGTAGAGGAAGTGGTGGAATGAAAGGAATCAGGTTTCACTTAAAGAAAGTAAGTTAAGTGGAAAAACTGAGACAATTAGACATTTCTAGGTCATTTAGCAGAAGTTTGAGTGACAACTCTGAGAAGAATAAGAAGGATCAGTAGAACAAAAATGAGTAAGAAACTGTAGCAAAATGCCACTAATGGGCATGAGTGTTCCAAGGAGGACAGTTGACACAGGAGGATAATTTTCTCTTGGTAAGTGTGGTCAGAAGCAAGAAAAAGGTAGGAAATCTAAAGACAGAGGTAGTCAGGAATGAAACAAACATACCCCAGAGTTCCACCTGGGGAATTTATAGAATGTTCTTTCCAAAAAAGTACATACTGGAGGTAGTATGTACAATAACTGGCTCTGAGTTCACTATCAAAATCCTCATAGTATTCTTTATTTAACATTTACCATACCATGTGCTTTCCATACTCATTCAGAGTGATTTAGCCTTTGTAGAAAAGAGTAGTAATGTTCTCAGATTGCCAAGGTAATGGTAATATTTCTATGGTAATAGAAGTGGAACATCATGGATTAAAATATATATATTCATGTGTGTAATGAGAACAAAAATTGGCTTAATAAATATTTTAAATAATCTTTCTAAAGTTTTTGTAATCAAATTAAAATTTAAAAGACAGTCAAGATGAACTGGTTTGAGTTCTTTTTCAATAATTACCCTGTCACCTGTCCACCCTTTAATAGAAGTGTTAATGAGGAATATAACAGCCAAGAGGCAGGCAGCCCAGGGGACAATGAGTTTAAAAGAGCCCATAATCGCAAACTCTTGAATAATTAGCGATTATATTTATAAATACGCACCCATACTGAGGAATAGATTTGACTGGTTTTATCACATATCTTCTGAGTTCAGCACACAATACTAGTTTCTTAGAGATAGGAACACCAAAGAATTCATAGATTTAGTCTGCACTTTAGATAAGGTCATAACCAGACCACACACACACACACACACACACACACACACACACACACACGGGCATACAAATACATGGAACTGACATTATAGCACATCTTCAAAAATATAGCAGTAAACACAAATGAGTAAAGGAAAGTGCCCACAGATAGGCAGGAAATAAGAAGTAGAATATGAAAGACAGTGTAATTTTGAAAAGTTATTTACTTTTAGAATATACATTATGTACTGGAAGAAAAGAATCATAATACAGAATAAAAAGATGTGTTTCTAATCTGCCAGTCTTTAAACCTAAATTAGAAAGGGAAGGAAAACATAAACAGATATAATAAACTAATAAACACCATAAGCAATAAATTCAAGGGCCATGTAGAACAAAGCATATACATATACATGCTAGCTATCCTAGCATGCACATATATATATATATACATATATGTATATGGTGTGTGTGTTTGTGTGTGTGTGTTTTCTTCTTTGGATATCACTTTACCTGTCTTTTTCCATATCCAGATTGTAAGCTTTTTGAGGGAAAAAGGATTTTATCTAATTCAACATTCCCAGACTCCAGCACAAGACATATCTATCAATATATAGCAACCCCCACTCTAGGAAATATTCAGAGATTACTATGATGTTTAATAAATGCAGATGTCACAGAACTAAAAATATATTAACAAAAAGGATAATTTTCACAGACAATACTGCTTTAAGACTGCCCCCAAAATTATTGTTAGTAAAGACAGAATAATTACAAATATAATTACACGAAATATTTAATTATTAATGGTTATAGAGTCTTACCTTCCAGTCTGAGGATCGAATCCAAAGTAACGGTCTTTACATCGATCACAACTTTGCCCAGTAATGGAAGCATCTTGGCAAACGCACTGACCAGTTAGGCTATCACAGATGTGATTAACTGCACCAGTTGTGTGGCATGAACATGGCAGGCAGCCAGTGGCATTGCCTGGAGAAATATAAAAACCTGGAAATAAATACATTAAAAGTTTTTATATATACTCTTCACCTGGTCTTTTCTTTACAAGATCACATTTTGATTACATAGAAAAACAGAACGTTCTATCATGGCACTACCTAATTCCCAATACAAGTGTGGTTACAGCTGTTCCTAACAAGTGTGTCAATTATGAACAAAGAAAAACTGTAAATGACTTACATTGCACTTGGGTGTCTCCCAGGCACCTAATATTCAGTATGTTTAAAACCTACTTTGTGGCCTTTCCACTAAAAACTTGTCCTCCTCTAATCATCTCCATTTCAGCAAATATTACCACCATCCAGTCAGTTGCTCAACCTAGAACCCTGAGACATCTTTGGTAGGATAGCATGATAAAATATAGGATGCCTAGTTACATTTAAATTTCTAATAAACACTTTTTTTAGTAAAAGTATGTCCCATGTAATACTCACTTATACTAAAAAGTTGTTCTCTCAAATTCAAATTTAACTGAGAATTCTGTGTTTTGCTAAACCTAGCAACCCTTCAGTTCTCCACTTGCCTCATTCCTGACATTTTGCAAATTACCAAGGCCTGCGTAACCAGCAATTTCAAACCTTCTACTCTCCATCCACACTACCGCCTCCCTAGTTAAGTCACCACCAACTTTTTCTTAGCTAATATTATGAACCGGGTGCTACTACTGCAAGGGCTTTATGTTCAGTATCACATTTAGCTCTCACAGCAACACAAAGAATGCAGGAATTATTACATTGATTTGAAAACTGAAGGTTAGGAAGGTTAACAAACTTTCCTAAAATGACAGAGTTGATAAACAGCAGAACCTAGGTTCACATCCAGGCCACCGGATTCCACAGGCCATCTAGTCTAATGGCGTCCCTCTCGTCCCACTCACATCTATTCTTCATAGTGTAGCTGCACAATCTTTTTTAAAGGGTAGCCTGAACATTCCATTCCTCTATTTAAAACTGTTTGATGACTTCCTATTCCCTTTAGGAAATAAACCAAATCTCTCATACCACCTCCGATCCTATAGAGGTGCCAGCTACCTCTCTGGCTTCAGCTCACTGCCCATCCCCAACTCGGTCCGTGACAGTCTTTCTGGTCTTGAGACCTTGAGGTTTTTTCACGGGCTGTTCTGTCTGCTGGAATGATTTTGACCCATCTCTGCTGCTTAGCTCACTCCTTTGTAAGTCAGGTCTTGTGACTTCCTCAAGTAACTTTCCCCAGGCCAGGTTAGGGATGCCTATTATGGATTCGTAGCATCCTGTTTATTTCCTTGAGTGCTCATAAAAATTTGAATCAATCTCATTTCCACCAAAATGTAACCTCTATGAGGGCAGGAACTTCATCTGTTTAATTCATCATTCTTTCCCTAGCACCTATTACAGTGCTTGGCCCATCGAAGGCACTCCATAAACATTGGACGAACTAATAAAAATGGGCCAAATTATTAAACAGGCAGTGAACCTCACAGGTACCACAGTAAAATAAAACCACAGAATTCAGAAATTTTAAATTAATGCTAATACGCATATTTTTTTCTTATGGCAAAAGGGAAGAAATACAAATATGATTCAAAAATATATTCAAGTTACTTAAAATCTATTGGACCAGAAGGTGGAAGTCAACAGTTATAAAATTAGAAAAACATCAGACATCTGAATGATGGGGCAGACTTATGAAGGAGAAATGGCTCTTGGGGTTGTGTGATGTGTGTGCATGTATGTGTGTATATGTATACATACACACACACACATACACACACATACATACACGCACAAGGACATGCAAAATGCCACAAGAAATTTTATGAAACAATGAGGTAGTGGGAGCACAGGAGGATTCTAATGAATAAAGTTACAGTGAATGAAAAGGAATGAAAATAGTTGTCACGATTGTTAATTTAAGGTGTATAAAAAGTGATATTGAAAGAGAGAGAGCATGAGCACAAAGTGAATCCATTCTGTTATCTATTCTATAGGGAAAAACAAAAAGTAATTAGGATACTCTAAAACTCATTCTAGGCTCTAGTTGAAAATAAGCCATTTTTTTATAGTCACCAAGAATTGGGTTTTTTTTTTTCTCCTAGACCCGGTATGTTCTCTCTTAGAATGCCTCAAATAAATAAAAAAAATTATGCTCAATGATAGGAAAAGAAAGGAGCTCAAAATCTGGGCCACTCACTTGGAAGGAATTAACTAATTCTGTCATTTTTAAATAATAATTTACAGCTAGATTATATTATTTGCTTCTTCCCATTCCCTGACAGCAATTTGCCTTATATAAATTTCTAGAAATAGAGTATGTCCATGGCAGTTAATATATATTCTCATGCCTGATTCCTCATGTGATCAAATTCACAAATTGAGAAAGTTTCCATTTTGGATTCAAAACCCCTATGGTTGTGATTCTTTGTATTTTTCTTCCTGTGAAGGTATCTAGGCCCTTAAATTCATGATGATGCCATCACAAATGTACTAACAGCACTCCAATTTGGATAAATTACCCATTAGCACAGATACTCAGAATTAATTTGGACTTATTGCAATAGCTTCAAGCCACCGAGAATTCTGGAACAATCAAGGATGATTTTTACAAGAAATGATTTATTAGATAAATCTGTAAATATGGGGGTGGGGTTACATCTTGGTGCAGAATTTAGATAGCCCAAGTTTTGGGGAGTAAAGCATGCCATAGAAAAATCAGAAACATAAGCAGAGAAGAACAAAAAAAAAGGTGGTCAAACACCTAGGGAGGCTGACAGTGGAGGTAGGGCTTCTAGGAAAAGACAACATTGGAATTTGCCTTAAGGTTAATTCCCCTCCTCCTCTCAGGAGCATGATTATAAAGGTTAATCCCACCAGTATTTTAGTTGTCCTATTTTTAAGCAATTCTAATTAGGATGACTCAGGTAACTTCCTGCTCAAAGATTACTTCTTGCCTTACCTGAATGTGCCTAATTCTAGACCATTACCTCTCCTTTTATGACTTCCAACTATAGAAAACAACATTTTCTCTTCCCTCCTGCTTAAACTTCAACTCCTGAGTGTGGCTTAAAGATAACTGACCTTAATTTCTCTTAACTCAATATATTTCTGATCTCCCTCCATTAGCTCCACTTCATGTTCTGCTTCTTTATATCTATATCATTTTAACTGATCTTTTTGAGATTTCTTTCCACGCATGATTTTGTACCACATTCTTAAGCATGGTCATTAGGACAATGTTATTACCTTGCATTATGCAGTGCTGAGAGTTCACGCATATATAGCACAAATCAGCCTGCTAAAGTCTATATTTTCCCCAGTTTTATTTCAGCTAACCCCTCATCCCAAACGAAACAAGTCTCGATGGAAAACACTGTATCATCCGGTTAAAGCAAAGAGTCACCCATATCATAAAATAGTGTTGCTTTATCTAGGAGAAGGCTCGCAGAGTCCATAGAGTTCAAAGTTATTAGCAAGGCTGCCGGTTTCCTCTCCTGTAGTGGCTATTTGCACAGCACAGTACCTTTCCCGAGCATAAAAGAAAAGCCCATTTCTTAGCAATGTCCCTCCTGAGGACCATGAAGAACAAGGCTTTGCCAACGTCTTGAAATAAGAGAAAGAAAAGAAGTGTAACCTCTAGGCCTTTTGCAGAAAAGGAGGGCAGCGCTGAGGCTAAGCACTAATTATAAGCCATTTAGAAGAAACTACTCTCACCTTCAGCCAGAAAATGGACATAATGTTAAGAGACTAGGGAAGGATGTGTGGCTCCCGTATACCGTGCAGCAAAAGACTATCTTAGTAATGATTTTACAAATTAATATTTTCAGAATGAAGTACAGTTGATGATGCAGTTTTCAAATTAAGACATTAATAATTTTCCTCTGTTTAGTAGTTTTATATAAAAAATACTAAAATTATTTGTAGAATTGATCAAATTTCAAAAAATGAACATATAAATATTAATATCATTCATCCAGAAGACATAATTTCTCTTATTCAAAAAAAAATTTAAATTCTTTTCCAATTAAATTAGATACAATGCTTTAAACGTTCTGCTGTTATTCCTTTTTCCTGGGTGGCTACTCCCTCCTCAAGCATCTTGCCAATTCCTATTTACTTATAAAACCCAGCTCAGGAATCATTTTCTCTAAGTTCTGCAGGCTCCTCACCCTTCCAGAATTAATCATTCCCTTCACTTTACTACTTCTCTATATTGTAAATTTCTAATATTGCACTTATCACATTGTGTTACATTTACGTATGGGTCACTTTCCGCTACTAACCACAATGCTTTAATATATTTGTAATTATAAATCTTACACTAGCACATTCCCCAGTGCATGGTAATTTATTCGATAGGTATTTATTAAAAAACAGATATATGAATGAAATGGATAGATGGCTGAATGGATGAATGGGTGGATGGGTGAATAAATATCTCTTACACCTTAAAATATGAGATGATCTCTTTAACACTGAAAAGGAAAATGGTAAACATAAATCTGTGAGTCATGAGAGTGATTGGTCAGAGTGGCCTGGCCTATCAGGGAGTCTAGCAAGGAATGTATATGAATCAGCCATAATAAATTTAAAATATAGTACTTGTCATATCAACAGATGGAACAGAGCTACAGTAAGATAATGTCACCCTATGACTATATCTCTTATTCTAAAAAACAAAGTACATAATAATGTGTTCATATAAGGGAAAACATTCTATTGGACTTTTCTGTTTTATAGAAATTCTAGTTTTTCTATTTATGTGAATGCCCATGAGAGGCCCCCATAAGCATATTCTCAAAGAATCAGATCCAATAAAAACAAAAAATACAAATAATGACAATTTTGACTGCATCTGGAAGATTATAATGAATATATATATATATATATGTACATTCAAAATCCACAGCAAAACTTTTATATTCTCTTTCCCATTTTTCTCATTCTCAATATTTATCAAATATACACTCTAAGGTCTCTCTTCTACGCCATTCCAACCATTCCAAAATTTCTCCA